AAGGAAGGAAGGAAGGAAGGAAGGAAGGAAGGAAGGAAGGAAGGAAGAAAACATGGAGGTTATAATCTAGTAATATTCTTGGGAGTTTCAGCCTGCATACCACTCACATGTTCGCAGTAACAGCCTATGATGAATATAGACAATATAGACAGAGGATACACAATTCTACAAACGCATAGACCATTGAAAATCATAAAGATTTTTTCTGGCTTCATCTTCTGGATTTCAAGTGATGTCTCATTTGTGAAATTCTATGAGATATGTGATTATGAATTTTGTTTCCTTACTTGAAAATGTACAAATCACAAACATAAAGAAATTCAGTTTGCTTTAAGATTGTTAAAGAATGGCACCTGATGTCTGCACATGAGATTTGTTAATTTCAATTGGAGACTAATATCCCAACAAACATGATCCAATATTTATGAAAAATGCAACAGATATGTAATTCACTAAAATGTTAATCAAAACAGTATTAGGAGTGTGTTCTTTGTCTGTGCTTTTGCTGCTTTATCTGATGCTTATTTATGCAGAAATTATGACAATCTAGGTTACATGTTGTCCACCAGGGGAACAGTGAAAACCCAACATCCTTGGAAGCATTTTTAGTTCTGTTTACCTGGAGTTGTTGGCTTGCTGGGAACCCAGTCACATTTCTAGAAAATTGAATGCAGTGGACCTACACTATCACATCTGTGAAGATGGAAAAATTACAAAAAAAATGACAGGAAGCTTTATTGCAAGTGCTGCTGTGAACTTTGAGACTCCTTGTATGATAGCAACTTATAATTTTATGATCCACATGTTGGAGATTTCAGGTTTTAGACATCCTCCTGAATTTATTGTAAAGAAGCAAGATAAATTATTAAAGAAAAGTAACAGTGACCAATGTACACCACAGTGTGAGACCACTCCCTCTCTACAATCTGTGAGGTCACTGTGTATTATCTGGACATTTGTTTCCATAGTCATAGGATTTTGCTCACAAAGGTACAGTGTGGCCACACTGGTCACATCCACTGAAATTCAATATTGTCACTTGTAAATATTCTCATAATAAAGTATTGGGAAAAGTAAGTATAAAATAGAAAATACATTTTTACTTAAGTGTACAATTAGCAAATAGCAGGCACAACATATAAGTCGCTATCCTTTCAGGTTGACAATTTCTCTGAAGTAGAATCTGTAGGATCTGGACAATAGCATTATTTCCACAGCCAAGGCATGAACTTAGAAGCACAAAGGGTAAGAGAGGCTTTCAAAACAAAAAGTGCTTAGGGACAGATTGAATACTTAAAGGTCTTGAACATGCCTACTGTGATGCCAACATTTCCATGCCAGTCTATTACCAGAGCCATGAGATATGTTTACAAAATACTCCTTCCCTCCAGAAACTTTGTGTTCATCACTTGACATTTTGTTCACTTTGTTTATATTTTTGTATGCATTTTGCTGCAAAAAGGTTTTAATTTGCGGTAATAGAGAGATGGTAAGGGACACTTCCTGATCTTTCAGGGGAGCTGAGTTTAATTCCCAGCAAACACATGGTGGCTCACAACTAGTTGTAACTCCAAACCAATTGGTTCTAACAAAGTCTACTGGCCTCTGCAGGCACTGCAATCTCATGATGCATATATATATATATATATATATATATATATATATATATATATATATATAT